TGGACAAAAGTGAAACAGGTCCAAGTGTTGACTGTTATGTTTTTGTTTAAATTAGATATAAAGAAAAAGAGGAAGAAGGCGCAAGATGAGACATATTGACTAGTTTATTATATGGGCCGGGTAGAGTAGGGAGACTAAGAGAGAAGATGAACAGGGGTAATGGCTGACCGCCATGGCTGGTCATCATAGAGAGGCAGAGAGAGTGCAAAGGTGAGAGAGAGCAAAGAAGCAGCAGCAGAGAGAGAGCGAAGCAGGGAAGTTGGAGCTTTTAAAGGGAAGACTGTGCATGTGCACTGAGGTTCCACGCATGCCCAGAGTCCTCAGCAGGCCGTAATGCATGGCGGGTGACACGGTGATGACATAGCACATTTTCCTGTGTGTGCCCTGACTGTTGTCAGAGAGCAGGGTCTGTCTCTTAAAGAGATATTGTCGATCAGTATTAAAGCCTGAACCTTTCATTGACCATGTTTACCTCTGGCTTGTGCCAATATCAGTAACTTTTTTCTACTTTTTTGTGTTTTCCACATATTTTATAGTGTGCATCTATAATTTTCACAATTTAAAATGATTACACAAAACAAGAAAAATGTCATTACACAGTACATAGGAAGGATTCTGATTGTCTCTTTCATTTTATTTATCTCTTTATCCTTGCTTCATTGGAAAAGAGTCTTCCCTTCATCCTCCCAGCAGCAGCTGTGGGTTATTCTTGGCCAGTGGGCACTGGGTCAAACTCAAGTGCCAAGCTCTGGCTAACATAAGCAACCAAGCCCTAACTTTTGACAAAAAGTCTCAAGAGCAGTTGACATTACATGTTTGAGATTTTGGAATCTGTTACAAAGGCTTATGAGTAAAATTTCCCATGGAAATTGCTAAACAAAACCTGGAATATGGCAAAAAAAAAAGAGAGAAAAGATTATGGCATCCCACAGTCCACAGTTTCTTTTAGATGTCATGTTTTGATTGGTAGACACTTTGAGACTAAAAGTATTTTTTATTAAAAAACAAAAGATTGGCTTCACGAAGAGAACTGGGTCAGCTTGGATCTCCCAAGCAGCAGACACCAAGAGAAACAGATGTCAGAGACCCAGTGGGGCAAGACCATAGGAAGGAGACTTCAGCACTCTTGTGCCACCAAAAAAAGGAGGTGGTGAAGGAAGGCAGAATGGAAGAACAAGCCAGAAAGTCTGGCACATCTCTGAAATAGACTTGGCCATGTTCAAGAGGAGTCAAGGCTGTGGGATGGTGGAGTCTCCCGTTAACCAAAAATACGATTCAAATCTATTGCCTCTACTGTGCTCAGGTGAGGTCAAGGGAAGCATGGGAAGAGCCATGGTTACAAAGTCCCATTGTAGTGGATCCTGAAGCTGGAACATTTAAAAGCCATCAGTCATTTTTGTTCCTTGAGAAGGTTTTTATTAGAAAATAAGACCTGATTGTTGCACCTCCATGGCACCCACAGAAATGTATTTAAAGTACATTTTCTTCCATTTCCTCTCCATCCCCCATGAAAGTGTGATTCCCTGAAACCCTGTCCTTAAACACCAAATTTACTATGCCTTGTTAGGGTTTGAATGTGAACTGCCCTGCATCAAAGCATGTGGATCCTTCAGGAGGCAGAGCCTAGCTGGAGGAAGTGGGTTGCTGGAGAGACAGGCCTTCCTGTCCTGTCTCTGCTTCTGATCCATGGATGTGTAAGGGAGCCACCGGCCTCTCCAGACACTACAATTGAATGCCTCTCCTTCCACGATGCACTGTCCCTTCAAACTGTGAGCCAAAATAAACCTTTCCTTTGTTAACTTGCCTACTGTGAAGGATTTGGTCACAGCAATGAGAAAAGAAACTGATAAATACCTAGAAAAAAAATGTGATGCTTTAAGGAGACTCTAAGACTCAGAGTCCAGTACAGTGCCTGTCATACAAATCTCTTGACAAACCTTGTCATTCCCTCTCCTCTCATCTAATAATGTGGTCCTCTTTATTAAAGCCAACTACATTGGGTTTGGCATTTATCATCCTTACAAATACTACAAAAGGGATGAAGGGATTTTAAAAGATCCCAGGAGGCTCAGGGTGGTTATGTAATTTACCCAAGGTCACAGAGCTACCAAGTGGTAGTTCTAGGACTCAAACTCTGGGCCATACTGAAGCTGGATGGATGCTTCCATTCTCTTTATATATGGCAGCTTTAACGAGAAGCCAATTAATGTAGGCAATAGGAGGTGGTCGCATAACAGGAAAGCCTGAATGGAGCTTAGATTTTGTAAGCCAACTGTCATTAACCCTGGCAGCATACTGGGAACCTGGGATTTTTAAATATTAAACCTGGTATTAAAACCATTTAGACACCCAGGCTTCATCCATGTTATGTGAAATCACTGCGTGTGTGTTTGGGGTGGGAAAGAGTGTAGCTAAGTAGTATAATGCTTGTCTAACATATTTGAAATCCAACCCCAATATTAAAGGAACAACAACAAAAAGCTGTTTCTGTGGTAAGTTCTGTCTCCCATCCTGTAGTCCACTTCTCATGGTGTAGACAGGGTAGGAGAGTCCCAGGAGCAAAGAGAAACCTACACATTGGACCTCTCAGCACAGCAATGGAAGACTCTGCTTAAAGAGCAGTGTGCGTGCGCTCTCTGGTGGATCCAAGCAGTAAAGCATCCTTGGCAAGAGCTATAGACCCTAGCGTTGGTGAATCCAAGCGCTGCTGGCAGATTAATAGGGGACATCTGGTTAGGTGGGACCTCTAGATCACCTTTACTTGTTCCTTTTTGTCAGCTCAACACTAACTATGATCACCTGGGAATCAGAAACCTCAATTGAGGAATCAACCTTATCTGATTGGCCTGTGGAGCATTTTCTTGATTGGTTGACTTGAGGGTGACCCACTGCGGGCCACGTCACCCCTCAGCAGGTGGTCCAGGCTGCATGAAAAAGCAAGGTGAGGCAGCCATGAGAACAAGCAACAAGCAGTATTCCTCCATGGCCCCTGCCTCTGTTTTGTTTTTAGTTCCTGCCTTGATTTCCTTCAGTGATGACCTGTGATGGGGACCAAATAGAGCCCTTCCTTCCCCAAACTGCTTTTGCTTGTGGTGTTTAGCACAGCAACAAACAGCTAACTAGGACAACCCTTGAAGTCTGAAGGAAGGAAACAGTGATGCGGACCACCACACCCTGCCAGTGCCTTGTCTCTTCAGCCTCCTGTACACGACACCTCCTCATACAAGGTACTGGCTCCATGCAATGGTGGGGGGATGGGGTCTCCTCCCATTTTACAGTGCGTTTCATTAAGGTGGGAGAATTTGTGACTCCTCTCACAGGTTTCATCTAACAAGACGAGGACAACTCCATCTACGTAACAACCTGCATTCTCAACTCTGGTGAATCTTAACTTTATCAGTGGCTAATTGGTGTTATAGCCTCATCATACAGTTTCGAGTATTAAATGTGAATGTCAAGCTTGATACTGGTCTGAACAGAACTCCCCATCACAGGCAGAATGGTTTTGGCTGAGTGTGATAGGACACACCTCAGGAAGCTGAGGCAGGGGTGCCGCTGTTAAGTTTTACACCAGCCTGGATTACATGACAAGAGCCTTTCTCAAGACAGAGAAGTGGGGAGGTGGAAGAGGAAAGAGAACAAAAAAGAATATTCTCTGTGCAATGAGACAAGACCGTTGCCTGGTGTCCCTCTGGAGCCTGGCATCTCCTTGGGCCTCAAGAAGACCTGCCTCTCTCCCCTACTGCACCCCACTGCAGCCTGGCCCATGACCCTTGTTGTCTCTATCTGCACTCTCACTCCTGGGACATTCCACTACAGACCAGTTATCAGAGCTGGGGGTGGGGACCTCCAGCAGGAGGAGTGCTGATGAAAAGGGAGGACTCCAGCAGAGGAGGACTGCCGATGAAAAGGGAGGACTCCAGCAGAGGAGTGCTGATGAAAAGGGAGGACTCCAGAAGAGGAGGAGTGCCGATGAAAAGGGAGGACTCCAGCAGAGGAGGACTGCCGATGAAAAGGGAGGACTCCAGCAGAGTGGGGGTGAGTGGTAGTGAAGGAGAGGCCAGCAGAACACCAAATAGCCAAATATTGTCACAGGACATCTGGTTTAACACTTAACAAAGTGGAAACCCAAGATATCCTTGAATAAAGCAGATCTGGAGCTGAACAGTGGTGGCACACATCTTTAATCCCAGTACTCAGGAGGCAGAGGCAGGTGGATCTCTGAGTTCGGGGCCAGCCTGGTCTACAGTGAGAGTTTCAGGACATCCAGAGCTGTTACAAGGAGAAACCGTATTTGGGGGAGGGGTGGCTTGGCAGACAGATTTGATGCAGTGATTGTGGTGAAATTCTAATTAGACCAAGGAATTGTGTGCATGGAAAACAGTCTATGAAGAGGAGCAAAGGAGTGGGTGGTGGCTGCAGAGGAAAATGGCTTCTTTTTAAGAACACAGGAGAGAAAGCCCTGTTTATAATGTCAGTGGGTCAGTGAGGGGGAAGGAGAATAGTGAAGGGCACCCTTCCATGGCTGGCAGGGGTGGCTCTGACGAAGACAGAGGCATAGAGCCTTCCATTGGGGGCTGTTAGTAACAGGCAGGGAGGCCAAGTCTGTAGACACGGGCACCCTTGTATGCACATGGATGCGCTGCACCTGCCCAGGGCCTCCTGTGGCTTCTGCCTTCCCTCTGAGACCCTGTCGCAGACCAAGTGCTGAATCCTGCTCCAGAGACAAACAACTGATTGACAGAGAGGTGGTCCAGTGGTCTAGGTCTGTGATACTGCTACTTAAACTCCAAGGTTCATGTCACTCAACTTCAAGTAACAATAAAAAACGTGATGCTTGCCGGGCGTTGGTGGCACACTTCTTTAATCCCAGCACTCAAGAGGCAAAAGCAGGTGTATCTCTGTGAGTTTGAGGCCAGCCTGCTCTACAGAGTGAGTGCCAGCATAAGCTGCAAAGACAAATCCTGTCTCAAAAAAACAAAACAAAAAAGTGATGCTCATATTTTCTTTATTTTCATATTTAGAAAAAGTCTGATAACCTCAGGAAAGAAGTTAAATCTCACTTATCCATCAAAAAACCAGCAAACATTGTTTTAGAACCTAGCAAACTGTGTTGATACATCCTAAATGCCACAGTGAGAATTTACTCAAGCATTTGCTTTTATTAAAAAAATACAACAATAAACAAGGACAAAGTTAAATGACATGTATGTATGAAAAAAGCCATAAGAAAACCCATTACTTTGGTGTTTTGCTATTTTTTTAAAAGACACAGGGGGGGTAGATTTGTTCTGAACTGTTTCATCTGTCTTTAAAAAACAAACAAACAAACAAACAAAAAACTCTGCTCCCCAATACTTAAAAGTAGGCTCTTTAGGCAACAAGTGCAGATTTGTACAAAATATAGCAACTGCTCTTTTGGGCGTCTCCATCGAGCCATGCTATTGGCTTAGCTGTCATAGGTAGAAGAGATTATCGGATAATTCCAAACTTGGTTCCTTATGAATGCTCTGTGCCACCAGGAAGGTCAGCTTGTGTGCGTACTGGCATGGTGCAGGGACACTGATTAAGCCCTGAGGAGGAAAAGGAGTGATAACATTGCAGAGATAAACTTTTTTTGAGAGTTTTTTCACCTATGGGTTACTTACCTGACAGAAAGTGTTCTAGAAGGATGATAATTAAACTCAACCAACAGAGGGCAGCCACAGCCACTGGAAATTTAAGCTGATTAGCAAGATGGGCTGTTGGGGGGGGGGGTCTGCCTCACAACATAGGAGCTAGGGGGATGGCATACAGGCGTGCCCTCAGCTTCCTGTTATCCCATGTTCTAGAAGGGCTCAGAGAAAACATGGGCTTTGAGCTCTTGCCTAATACACAGGCGTACAGGCCCAGGACTCTTAAACCTCACCAGGCTCAGTGGTGGTGGCTTCATGTCTCTCACATGTAGCATGGGATTGACAAAACTGCTATCCCCAGCCTTGCCTGAGGGAATGAGCATCATAAAGTCCTGTGGAGACAGATCCTGGGGCTGTAGAGACACTTGCTACTGTTTTGTTTCTCTGACAGAGTGGGCTCCTCCAACCATGGACTCGTGTGCCCACTCCTCCCTGTAAAGTCAGGAGTAAGGACTAGAAGGAGGAAAAGGACATGGCGAGTCCCAGGCAGTAATCTTTAGTGTCACCCTTACTTCAGTGAACATCTGTCACTCACCTGCCAGTTGTAGTAGAGATGGCACAGTTTGAACGTCAGTCTCTGCATGTGGTCAGGCTTCAAGCCATTGTCATCATAGATGATATTATAGTAGGTGGGACTAACGGTCCCCCGGTTAGCAGTTTGACTGACCAAGTAGAAGTCGTACCTGAAGACAAACAGAGAGGAGTGGAGAAAAGAGGTCACAAAGCAAGCCAAACTGAAGCAATACACCATGCGTGCTTGTAAAAAGCCAGCCTCTGGGGACTGGGAGAGTCCTTAGAGAGCAAAGCCCTTGCTGTGCAAACATGAAGCCCTGCGATGAGTCTTTCAGCATTCATGTAAATACAAACCAGCCCAGGCATAGCTGTCTGCCTGCCATCCATCTCAGCACTGAGGACGCAGGGACCACCCGCCCGGCTAATCCCTCATCTCCAAATTCACGAGAGACCCTGTCTCAACAAAGTAGGTGGAGTGCAATCAGGAAAGACATTTGCTATCAAACTCTGGCTCCACATGAGCATGCACACCTGTGCAGACACATACAGACCCACAAAGTTATCTACCCACTGTAGTTATCTCTTTCTGTTACACACACACACACACACACACACACACACACACAGTTTTCCAGTGACACTTGCCACTCAGCACGTGTTGCTTCAGAATCCACGACAGTGCCGAGTGGGGGGTTCTGCACAGTGTGGCCCGTCTCGGTGAAGAACCGTAGCAGACATCTCTTCCTGACCACAACCACTGACAGTCTGCTGCTGCTGCAACCGAAAAGGGGGGAAGTGAGGGCACTGAGGCCGAGCCAGACAGTCCAGTTTTGTTGGTTTGTTGCTGTTTGGTCAGTTTGTAAGAGAAATAAACAGAAATTCATTCTAAAAACACTGCAAAACAAAGGGAAAATCACCCATGAATCCTCAATCTCTAGACAGACATACAATTATTTTAGTTAGGATCTATTTGGATTTGTAACAAAAGTGAACTATGCCATTGCCTAGTTTATACCATTTAACAAACCAGGGGCGACTTCAATTGCCTTTTCTTTCAGTATGGGCGCTGGGGGAAACTGAAGATCTCACACATGCTAGCCTAGTGCTCTGCTGCTGATATTGTGAAGCAGGGTCTCACTAAATTGCCCAGGCTGGGCCTGCAGGCCTGTGGCACCCAGAATTCCAGCTGAATCTTAAGGACAGGTAATTCTCACAGAATTATCCCTACAGGAGGCATCCCCTGTATTAGGAAGAGTCATCCCATTTCTACCCCCACTCCTTCCCCAAAGTTCATCTCTGAGTAGCCAAGGGAGAACCGTGGTCCCTCCTGCTCCTCAGACAGTCATGCAAAACCCACGCTTAGGTTGGTGGGTGGAAGGATGGGTGAGTGGATGGGCAGAGAGATGGGTGGATGGAGGGAGGGAAGGATAAACGGACCGAATGCTGACTGGCCAGGTGCTAAATGTATTTCACAATACCAAGGCCAACTCCCAGTATTCTCTGTCATGGAAGGAACTTGGGGGAAGGTTCATTTTGAGCAGTTTTAGGATGTGAAGACCCATTTTGAGTGGTGGGCAGTATCCACAGTACTCTTGGCGCTGACAACAATGCTCTCTTGCAGCATACAAATGAGTCAGTAGTTGTGAACATCTCCTATACTGAAACTTAAAGGTTAGTTCCTTGGCACTGTCACTTCTGGATCCATCTGTCTCTACCAATGGCATCATGTTTATTTTTAATCTTGCAGCTGTGATACAGTCACCTGAGGTCTGGCAAGGGGCAGACAGCCGTCCCTCTACTAGTTTAGCTAGAGCTGCAAGGGGCATTGTCAGTACACTGTCTGGATTTCCCATCTCTGCACAAGTAACAGCCTGAGGCCAAGGCCATTCATTCCTTGGCTGGTGACTGTGGGCTTTCGTTGATGGTGATGGTAGTGTGTCCAGACATAGATCTGCATTGCCTGGTAATAAGATGATCCCTAAGAATTCTTAAGGCACCAATTTGAGAGCACTGTCCTTTCTCTTTCCATCCTAGGACCTCCCTTGCATCTGGCCCTCCACAAAAATCACTGAAGAAAACTGTCCATGGCTACGCTGGATCTAGAACATACCCAGGGCACTGCATGATCAAGACAGTCTGGGTTCTGCCTGCAGAGATGCTCCCTCACACCTATTCCTGACTTATCTGTGCACAGGTGACTGTATCCAGCACCTGTCTGTGTGTTGATTTCAGACTCAATTTTTAAATCAGAGCTCCCACCCCAGTGAGTATGTATTCAGCATCTTTGGTATCCTGGTCCCTGCAAGCTCTTGGAAACACTCTGCCAGCTGCTCAGAAAGATGCTTGCCTCCTTCAAGGTGCCCAATTCAAGCCCCCCAAACCTTAAAGTACCGGGTTATTAATATCAGACCATCTGAACTACAACCTAGTCTCAGGAAAACCCATCCAAGTTAGGTATGACACAGAAACACAAAAAAACTTCATTGTCTAAAAAATAAAGTCATGTTCACAAACCACATATTCAGGATTGCAGGTGCATATGTTATAGGCGTCAGAGAAAGAGAGGGAACAGAATACCTGGCACCTGAGCTGCACTCAGTCACACTGCTCAGCAGCTGTGGGACTTCATAATCCAAAACTGTCTTTAGCTGCCCATCTCCCACACCGTCTCGGTATATGATTATCCTCGAGGGCAAATCATGGTTGTGCTTATACCATTTGTTGAGAGCACCTGGAGAATGTGGTGTTAATGAGAAAATAGTCATCAGTCCAGGGCTACCAAAAATAACATCACATTTAAATAATTTTGCTTTTTATACCATGGTAAATGGCAAGACTTAGTCTGCAATACAAAAATTGGCTAACTAGCACTATTCCTCCATCTCTGCTGTTTGAGCAATCACAAGGGTTTCTGTGGCAGTAACACTCTTAAGTTTAACATATTTCTTTACCCAAATTTGAATATTTAAGTGACAAATCAAAATTTAATCCATTCAGTAGACAAACGCCTAAAACCAAATTAGCACTAATTCAACTTTAAGTCTTCGAATCTGCTCAGGACAGATTGGATGTGTTTGTATCATTTTCTTCCCTAATGAGAACAAAGATGAAAACACAAGGAAATGACTCGGGCCATCTCTCAAAACAGCTCCTCTCTCCAACTCCCAAGTGGAGTGTAATTGTCACAGATGGGATGGAGTCTGAAACATTTCCACCCACTCTAACTGTAAACTGCCTCAGAGCAGGCACCAGACGGCAGTCCCTCCATGAGGGAGACTTTCAGCAGGAATGGCTAAAACATTGGCCAGGTTTTTAAATGAGGAGAAGGTAACAAGGTGCAGTAATCCCTTTTTGTCTGTATGTTGCATAATTTATTTCAGGAGAATTTACTCCCTAGGAAATTGGTTTGGTTTGACAGAAGAGAATCATACTTCCAAGAGCAAGCCCAACAAGGATCATCAAATTCACTTAAAAGACATCCCAAGCCCTCAGCTTTACAACCTGGAAACTACAGGTAAGAACAGGGCAGACTTTCATATGGATCACATGGTAAAGCCAAGGTGGCTGGGGCTGTGAAGAGGACACAGCCCTTCATTTCCTGTCTCCCCATCTTCCTCTACTATATACCACCCTTTATCTTCCTGCATTGGCCACCCTCGGGGCAAAGGGCTGGTTCCCCCACCCACCCACTCTTGCAGATTTACTGCTGCCCTGTCACCCTGGATTCTTCAGTGCAGGCCCTATTTGCCTCAATGTGCTTGCCAGGGCCACCTGGGTAACCATGCACTCTTCCCTCTTGGCTTTGTGCTCAGCACACACAGCAACATAAACACTACATAGTCTGTTAGCACACAGAGGTGGGGATCTCCAATTGGGTGAGAGTTGGCAGGTTTGGGCATTTGCTTTCATCCATCTGTGGATCTGGGGTGTGAAGGAGCAGTCCCCAGAGCCCACCCCATTAGATACCAGTCAAGCAGACTTTTAGGCAGTCTGCAATATCAGCTGCTGTTCTCTGAAGAACACATCGGGAAAACCACCTGAAATAAAACGCAAAAGGGAAACATAATTTCTAGATCCTGCTATAAACACGTCCATTAAGTTAGAGACAGATGCCTGCTGCAAAAGCCAGGGCTCCTAATTTTGTATATGTTGCCTGCAACAATCATACTAAGTGGTCCTCTTCCTAGCTTGAAGTCATCCTTCAGTGTTGCCATCTAGATCCCAACCCTGACCAGGAAATTCAAAAGCTATGTGACCTTGACGCAAACCCAAACTTGAACTGCTCTATCTGTTTCAGGCGAGTTTAAAGGACAATGATTAGCATCTCCTAAAGTGAACAGGTTTAAATTCAACACCACATGGGAAGGATTTGCAGAAGGGTTCCTGTGCACAGTGAGTCCTGATACAGGCTCACACCTTGATTGCAAGAAAGTGTATTAGTTGAGCATATTTTCTGCTTGTAAAATGTTTGAAGATTTCTCAAGCTTTAACCCAGTCCTAGAGGTGACTCTTCCAGAGTTACCACCTCAACAAGATTAAGCTGTCAGAATTTCAAAGGTGATCTTCATAGTTGTTAATTAAAGGCACATGGAAAATGAAAGTTCAGACACTCAGTGTGTGTCAGGACATGGATATGAAGGGTCCCCTCAAAAGGCCTGTATGTTGGAGGCTTGCAATTTAGCTTGTGGGGCTATGGAGAAGTGATTCCATCACCAGAGTGCTAACTGCATCAGATTAATCCACAGAGCTGAGCTGAACTAACAGCCAGCTATGTGCTGAGGACAAAGGCTTAGCTAGATGCAGGTCACTGGGGCCTTTGAAAGGTATCTTTCCCTCTACACTCAATGCCTATTGCTGCTTTCTGTCTCCACCTCCCGGCTGCCCTGAGGTGAGCTGCTATGCTGAGCACAGTTCAGATGCTCAGCCTCATGCCAGGTCTAGAGCAACAGGGCTGGGTGACGATTGCCTGACACCTCTGCAACTGTGAGCCGAATCAGCCTCACCTCCTGAGAGCTGTTCTCAGACTTCTCCCACCAACAGGAAGTGACTAACACATTTTGCCAACACTGTCATAGTTCCCTGACTATCTATAATTAAGGTAATACAATTACAATGTTTCTGACAAACCATGAATTTTGAGTGACATCAAGAAGGCAGAGCAAGTGCTTGATAAATGACTGTTATTAATAACAGGAATCTCACACAATCTGGAATGAGTTGTGTCCATGCAAGCATGGTGTTTTTACTCTTCCTGTATCTTAAAAGTGCAGATCCATACCTACCACTGATTTAGTGGAGTAAATCTAACAGCTGAGACCAGGAAACAATGATTTTGCAAGCAGCTTCTATGGCTTCAAAATATATGATTTAACTGCAAATCCTGAAGTAATTCTAAAACTACTACAATTTAATAAGAGCCAGAACAGAAGTCTGTTTAAGGCTTTTCTGTCTTTGTCCCGATTTTAAGAGCCATTTATGCACCCCACACATAAAGCATCTGCAAGTTTTGGCAAGAAAAATAACTGTGTATACCAAGATATTCCCAGCAGGTTGAAATGTTTGGAGCATCTGTCTGATATAACCCCACAGAAACCTTATGAAATAGTCACTGTCATTCTCCCCTTCTAATGGGTAACTATGGGACTTGTAGCTAAACTTGATATTTGGACCACATTTGCAAGATAAAAAGTAGACCAGGTAGAACTGCAAACAATCTGTTTTCAACAATTGGGCCTCACTTGCAAGATAAAAAGTAGACCAGGTAGAACTGCAAACAATCTGTTTTCAACACTAAGAGCTTTATTATAATATATGAGGTGCCCAATTCACAGAGTGCTTCTCACCCACACCTACAACAACCTGCACAAGAATGTCCATGTGTTCATGATCCAGGAACGTGGCTGGTACAATAACTCACCCCAGTGAATGTGTGAAAATGGTTTCAAACTGAGGCTTCATTTTACTCTAACAGTGCCAATCCCATTGTAATATGTAATATATTAACTGTCCATATTTAAAATATGAGTAAATAATACAGACTGGTATGTATGTCATATGTTCTTCAAATGTAACTAAAAATCTGGTGGAGGAGCAGGTGAGATAGCTCAGAAGGTAAATGCACTTAACACCAAGCCTGATGACTTGAGTTCACTCTCCAGGCCCCACATGGTACAAGGAGAGAATCAACTACGGTCTTCTACTGCAAGTTGTCTACTGACCTACACACACACACATGCACTGTGGCACATGTGTTTCTATACATATACACAAATTAACAGAATATTTAAAAATTATAACAGAACAATAATGGCAATAATGGGGTGGGGTGATCAAAGTATACTTTGTATATGTTTCAAAATACAATGAGACACCTATGCCAGTGTTTCTCAGCCTTCCTAATTCTGTGACCCTTTAGTACAGTTCTTTATGTTGTGCTGACTCCCAACAATAAAACTATTTCATTGCTACTTCATAGCTGTAATTTTGCCACTGTTATGAACTGTCAGATAAATATCTGATACGCAATCCCTGTGAAAGGGTTGTTGTGACCCACAGGTTGAGAACCACTGGGCTATACTGTTAATACGTGCTGCTTTAAACTTGAAAGCATATTCTAACAACACGTTTTTAAACATTTGTTTATATTTTTTGAGAATTTCATGCCCTGTCCCTAGATGAAGGCAACAAATGACTGCAGAGAAAGAGAATGGCAATTTCTCCGGGATAAGCCCTGATAGGTTATCCAGCCCAAAGGAGTCGTTCCTAAACATACAGTCACATGAGCTCTAAAGTCACAGCTCTAAAGGGCTGCAGAGGGTTAGGAGGAGGTTAAAGTACCTGGTGATCCTGGAGTTAATGCTGGCTACAAATCCAACAACCACCACATCCTTGTTGAGGGCGTCTCTACAGATGTCAATACCCGCCACCATCAGCGACTTCAACTGTTAAATGAAGTCAGTCACGATTTAATGGCATGAGCATCTTTCTCGCACACAACGGCGTTTTAAAAACTCTCCAGTTACATCACTACCCAAGTTCCAGATGGGACAGATGATTAAACCAGAAACCAGAGAATGAAAGACAGGGGAAGATTATGATAGATACTTCACTGAAGAGCCTAACTGACTATCAGCCTCCCTGGGAGAGGACGAGGAGTGGAGGTAGGCAACGAAGGTGACGATCCTGTCATCCTCTACCTGGTCAGAAAGATCTGAATCTGAACCCCACTCCTGTGTTTCCGACTGCTTGCTGAGGATTCTGAATTAGCTATCGATAAGGTAGTGGACACATAACCACATTTTCTATGGTTGGGGATGTACAAGGGACAGGCAACACTGCCACTTCTCATTTTCCTCACTCACCAGGCATTTGATGAGTGTCCACTACAGGTGGGCAGTTCAGATAGCAGGCGGTGTTCCCTCAGGGTGCAAGGGCACTCTCAGAAAGCCCACTCTACTGAACACAGGTACAGACAGCGGGTTGTGTTCCCTCTGAGAAGGCACACTCCACTGGACAAAGGTAAAAGTAGAGGCCATGGGACAGCATTTCAAATGGCAGCAGGAGAGCCAGGAGAACATAAATCAGTCCTCCGCCAGGTTTGTAACACACAAGAGCCTCTTCCATGAAGTCTGTCAGCAGCTAAGCAGAATCTCCCAGAGAGGAAGGGCTGTTTTCTCACCCACTTTGCAGAATTTCTCTGCAAAGTTTGCGTAATGCCATAACCCAGGGGGAGCTCAACCACACACATGGGAAAGAGTGGGCCACAGAGGGTCATGGGTTTATATGTCTGTCGTATTAGCAGCTAGAAGCAACCTAGCTTGCAGGAGATACTGGCAGGCTGCTTGCACACACCATGCCAGTTAATTATATAAGGAAACTGGGCATCTTCAGGAGATCTGAGGACCAGCTCTCTGCCCCCAAGATATCAAAGGGCAACTGAGACACTGGGATCACATGATACTATCTCTAATAGGATCTGGAAACTACTGGTATGAAAAACTGCTCACTGGAATCTCCACGGCCCACAGCTCTCCGCCAAGTTTGCAGGTCATCTGCATGGCAATCTTGGTGGCCACACTCATCATCATTCCTTGCTTAGTCAGGGTCCGGGTTAGCACACACTGGCTTGGGACCGGGCAGTCAGAACTCAAATACTTTTTAATGGAGTCATAATAGTTCTTCGGATTAGAAGGCAGAATGCACATCACCTAAAAGCAAAATGACAACAGATCAAACCCAGCTAATTACACCTTTGAACAGCATATGGGAAACAGATAAGTGTAGGTTCTCCAAACAACCTGGTAGAAGAGTCAAGATGAAAGCATGGATTCTCTAGATATCATTTGCTCCATATTCCCAAGAAGCAAAAGTAAACATGGCTGCGGATCCCTTAATGGCCTTGGAGCCACTGTTAAGTGAATCTGTACCACTTGAAATGCCATGTTGCTCAGCCAGCTTCCCCTCATTTGTACCCATCACCCTGGCAAAGTCAGCTACACAGACATTCAAGCTGCAGGAATACATCCTCAATTCATTTTCATCCTCTCCTGTCCTGAATAGTCTCCTCGAATCCCCTTCTTGCATGCTCTTTCTCCAATGGTTAGCTGGCCACCCTGTGGTTCTACAGTAGTGGCCTTGTTTTTAGGACATTTGTACCAAGATTAGTCAAGAGTAAAGGGCACCCTTAACATACCATCAGAGCATTCTGAAAAATGACAGGAAATGTCAGGAACTCTGGGTTCTGGGAAAGAACATGAGAGTTTTTTGTCCATGCTTGCACTTTTCTTTACAGTTTTGCATTCAATGAATTTAATGCTCTTAGAGAGATAATTCTCTTCATTTAATGTAATATTGATAGAAGTAAGTGTGTGTGTGTGTGTGTGTGTGTGTGTGTGTGTGTGTGTGTGTGTGTGTGTAACAGAAAGAGATAACTACAGTGGTCTTCAGGGCAACTGAGCAACTGCTGTAGGGGCCCAGGCCTGGTAGATGAGCAAACTATAAATTTTTTATTGTAGGTAGAAAGCTTTCTACTAACAAGGATGCCAATCTTAACTTTCCTAGGGTGTGATACAAATCATGCTTAGGCCCCAGTCTGCAAAGTCAGCTATACATGCATGCAAAGCAGGAATGCGTACATCCAAACACATATACACAGGAAAACAAACACATATGCACACAGACAGGCACACATATGGGTGTGCATACAAGTGAGTAGGTACATACACCAGGGTATACACACACACACACACACACACACACACACACACACACACACAAACATGTAAGCATGCACACATACCACATACATATGGGTATACACACACATACACCCAAACACACACATGAAAATGCCACACTTGGGCAAGCAGCCACACACAAAGCGGCACACATATGTGCTCACATGACTGTTCTGGAAAATTGGGTAGCTGCAGATGCCCCACAGAGTCATACCATGCATGAAAAAATGGCCCTTTCCAAAGATGAAACCTACAGCAGGTGGCAAGGACTCCAGGGACCTTGGACCCAGAGGCAACTAAGAGATACCTAAGCCTTGAAATAGTCCCCTGGACTACTTAAACCACAAATACCCTAACACTACATGACGACATGGGAGTCAATTTCCCTAAAGCATATGTAAAAGATGACCCTAGCAAGTTATAAACTATGTAGACATAAATAAGGCTTGAGAGAGCAGTAGCAGGTTATTTAAAAGTTGTTAAAACTAGGAAAATCAAATATTGATTAAAAAATTGTTGGCATTTATACTGTGAGTGTTTGAGGGAAATGCACAGTAATTTGAAAACATCATGAGATTGGTCTCATGCCAGCTTAGCTAAAGTCATCCGACAGGAGAGAACCACAATTGAGGAAATGCCTCCACAAGATGGGGTTGTAGGCAAGTCTGTAGGGCATTTTCTTAATTAGTGACTGAGGGGGAAGGCCCAGCCTATTGTGGGTGGGGCCACACCTAGGCTGATGGTCCTGGGTTCTATAAGAAAACAGGCTAAACAAGCCAAGGGGAACAAACCAGTAAGCAGCACCCTGCCATGGCCTCTGCATCAGCTCTTGCCTCCAGGATCCAGCCCTGCTTGAGCTCCTGTTCTGACCTCCTTCAGTGATGAACAGTGCTGTGGAAGCATAAGCCAAACAAACCCTTTCCTCCTCAGGTTGATTTGGTCATGGTGTTTTATCGCAGCAATAGTAACCCTGACTAAGATAGCAGAATGTTCAGAACCTTTTTTTAGACTTCAGACATAAAGTATAAATATTATGCATGTAAAACCCAGAACACATGCCACACTTACCAACTGAACATCAGGGTTGACATGCAGCTGGATGGCTCGAAGGAATGCTGCTGGTTTTTCGTCTACTTTTATGCTACATGAGAAGTCATCATGAGGTTATTAGAAAAATACAGATGGGCTCTTCAACAGAACAGTCATTTTATGAAAAAAATTCTTAGAGAAAAATGAAAACTTCTCAAATCTAATGCTGTTTCTCCAGTACATGATGTGCCAAAATACTCAACGACCATTCTGTTAGATTATTAAAGTTGAGATAAGTAGAAATTTCCTCAATTGTACAGAATCCCCTTACTTAATGGTTTGCTATTCAAAATTGGGTTAAACATGACGTTCCCAAATTTCGAACCTGTAACTTCGAATGTCTGAAGCAGGACTGGGATTTCTAAAATACTTCAGGAATCATTAACCAGTGGCCTAGGTGTTTGACAAATGCACACAAATCACCAAGGGGTGGTGGCGGCAGTGTTTGCCCTTACCTGGGAACAGCCTGTTTGGAGCCTGTACTTTCTAGCCTTAGTCAGTCTCTCAGCCAGCAGGTATTGTCAATTACACAATTGTATAAGGGGCCAGAGGCTACAGAAAGGATTCTTACATACGGGTACTTGCCAATGTAGCCTCTACATATGAAATAAAACTATCTGCTCCCCCCTCCCCATGAGGTGGGGGAAGGTGAGAGAGGAATCTTCTCAACGATGGGTGGCCTTTTTTACAGACAGCCGCCCAGCAGGTGGCAGGCCTCTTGCCCTCTTCCAACAGCCACCTGAAGGACTGCAAGCACTGCTTCAGTAATTCAGTGGTTTGGACTTTCCTAATGTGGACCTTTGACCTCCAGCTCAGACACACTCATCATCATCAGACAGGTATTTTAGATGAAACAGGCCAGGCATGTGACTTTAGCAAGCAAACAGATACTTCATAGATGAGAAAAAGTGGGGTAAAATAAAGGCTTTCATACAAGAAAAGTCCAAAGACATATGGGCACAGGCTTCTTGGTGAACCTGTGTGGCTCAAGGCCTGCCCTAGCAGCCCAGGTCTGCTGACGGATTGTGACTTCTACCATCTCTCTCTGCTGCATTTAACTCACAGTTTAGAGAGAGCAGAGAAGGGGAAACCTGAACGTGAAGATTTGTCAGCAGACTCGGTGATAAGAGGAGAATTCTAATGTGGTGTAAAATGAGACTTTGGGAAGTGCTGTGGCTTTGCATGGCACATATGCTGCTGATGTAATTCGTTAGTTATTGTGTGTTTACGGAGTAACTTCAAATAAAACATAAGAGTGAGTCTGGCTCTCTACAAGTTCATCAAGGTCAATTTCATAGCAAACTGATACTTAGTTTTGAGCTTGACTGCATCTGTACACATGTAGGCTTCAGTCCTTTTCTTCATTCCCAGAAGCCACCTGAGTATCTACTGCAGGGGAGTCATTTTAAATGCTCAAGAGTGTGAAAGGGTGACCTGGGTTTTTGCTTGTTTGTTTTGTCAGAAAGCTATCCTAACACTAGTGCTACTGTAACTTTTTGAAGCCTAAGATCTATCAAATCAGCCAGGAAGTGAAATATTTACTTTGTAATATCACGTTTGCTAATAAGTTTTATAAATAACTGACCAGAAAGGTTAAAGTAGAGAAGGCGCCACAAGGACTAATGTATACCCAACTGAGGAAACAAGTCTTGCCTATAAAACAAACTTTTACAAAGCTAGTAAAATGTATTTTAGCAGTCTTAAAGATTTACGTATTTTTGTTTTCTGTATGAGTGTTTTGCCTGCATGTAAGTCTGTGTATCGCATGTGTGCCAGGTGCCTTAAGAGTCAAGAAAAGGCTATCAGATCCCCTGGAACTTGGAGTTGCATACAGTTGTGAGCTGCCATGTGAATGCAGGGAACTGAACCTGGCCCCAATGCTCTGAACTGCTGAGCCATTTGGAGCCCCTACATTTTAGTTTTATAAAACAAATAAATATAAAATCTAACTTCTTGTGACTAATTTGACATTTTAGGAAATATTGCTCATGTCCTGGGGAGATGACTCAGAAGTCAAGAGCTTATATTTTTCTTGCAGAAGACTGAAGTTCATTTCCTAGCACTCACACTGGGTAATTCAAAACCACTTCTAACTCCAGCTCTGGGGGATCTGATACCTCTGCCTTCCATGGCCACTCACATTCATGTGCCCATACCCACACACAGACATACAGACATACACATCATTTTATACAATAAATTAAAACAGAAACATTACTAAAATGACTGTTTTATAGATATGCCAGGCATTATTTTTAACTTTAAAACAAAATAATACATGAAAAAATTCACTGTATTCTCACATTTTTGGGTAACCCACGTTAAATCCCATGGGACCTCCAACTCTCCTCAAGCAGCTCATGAGGCCTTCGATCAAGTTCTCAGCCCTGTTGCAGCATACGATCAACCATCTACTCAGAGGCTGAGAGCTCAAAATTTTGCAAGTTCGCATATCCTTGGACCAATCAGCAGCAGTTGCAGGCTGACACTGAGAAAAACCAAGACCATGAAGTAAGTTATCCAGAGAGTAATTTAAGAACGTTTGTCACAACAGAACAACTGAAAGACATAGATGCAACGGGCACGTGGGTTTCCTGGAAGTACAGGCACTGGGAATCATGCAAGGTCTGATGGGTCCTGCGTAGGCAGCTCTGGATGAGACACCCTGCTAGTGTCAAACTGAAAAAGAGATCTCAGAGTTCCCTTCCACTTATGTTTGTCCTTTTTCATGGACATTCAGGCACGCAGGCTGTCCCCTTTTGACTTCTTGCTTAAACCATTCAAAAGAACGAATACTGACACTCTAAGTTCATTATGCTATGGCGGATTAGGCCTGCAGGAAGGTGAGAAACAGCTACACAGAAGAGCAAAGATGAGGCCAATAGCTACTTCATGTGCATATTTGTGTACATGCTTGTGTGTGTGTTCAAAGGCCAGAACTCAGAGATACAAAGCCCCAGGGATGCCCCTGCCTCTGCATCCCACAGGGAGCTTACAGGTGTAACTGCTGCACCTGGCTGTCCATGGGTGTTGGAGATGAACTCAGGTTCAACTGAACCATCACGCCTGGGCCAAGGCCACTAGTGTTACAGAAGCAATATGATGCTTCTCCCAGTTTTTACAAACTGAAAAATGGTAGCAGAGAGAAGTGCTGACAGCTAAGTGGCAGCAAGGACAAGTTTAGAATGCCAGTGGCTTTGTCACAGCCAAGGGACTTTCTACCAAGCTCTGAGTTCCAGCCACTGCCATCTGCATCAGGTATATGGCTGGGATGCAGCTAAAGGAGACTGTAACACACAAATAGATTGGGAACCAACTTCATTCGAGTGTTCAGAGAGCCCTGCTCACTTACCTCAATGCTGCTGTCATCCTATGGGAATCATGGTCAAGGACAAAGTGCCTACAGACCTTTAGTTCACTTGGTCCTAGGGTCCTTCTTGACCCAGAAAAGCATGGGCCAAGAAGCTAATAACACAGCCATCTGTAATCAAGTGGCCTCTACATTTTGATGCCCCTTTCATATCTTCAACCAAAGCCTGGATGAAGGGTGATTTCTCTCCACATGTCTCAGCTCACTTCTAACCAAGCACTGTGTCTCGAGGTGAGGTCTGTATGAATCACTGACCTTCTATGTGAAACTGGACAAAGCCAGCTTTTAAAGTCACCCTCTATCAGTTAGAATTGACAAGGGTTATCATGCTTGCTTGCTTGTTTTTAGTGGCCTAGTGTGATAGCTGGTCATAGGCAGCCATGTGTGACTTGCAATTGTTTGAAACAGCAATTACAAAATACCTGAACCATGCCTACTGGATGACGCTAAGTCCACACAACTAAATTGACACCATAGAGAAAATCAAAAGAAACTGGAAATCTTAGGACCAAGACAGGGCAGGGCCATGGCCTAACACATATGGCAAGCCCCACCACCCTGGTGAGTGAGCAAACACACATTCAAGCAAACACTTTCAAATGAAAAGAGAATGAGAGCTCACTGTGTGGTCCTGCAGCAGTATCTTTTCAGAAGGAACTACCCGGCCAGTCAGGGATATCTGGCTTCCAAAATGCAGTCCCCAGGTCTCAAGCTCCAATCGAGCCACTTGGTTTCTGTAAACAGAGTCATTTTTAATCACTGCAGTGTACGTCTGCTGAAGGTTTTCAAAAATCACAGTAACTTGCAGAATTATCCAGGGGTGGCTTTCTATCTTTAGGGATTCTGGCTCCTAATTCTCATGTTATACATCAATACATTTATTTCTGGCAGCTCAAAATAATGATGTCAACCACTGTGCCCACCAAGAACAGGAAGGGAGAGGAGAATTGCTGTGGGGTGCAGGGGTTCCAAGGCACACCCAGTTTCGCTGTATCTGCCCTTCAGTAACAGATGACCTTGAGCAGACTGTTACACTGTTTTCAAATGCCTTGCTTCCTGAAAGGCAAGATGCAGATACTGTATCACACACTTGTAAAGATTAAAAATGGCAAGACTTGAAAATGCTCACCACAGTGCTGCCTGCTGCTGCCAATGAAGGTAAGATACCATCCTAGAACAAACTATTTACCAAAGGGATTATTTGGAATTGGTATATGCAGATTTCTCCTGGGAACTTTTGAATGTATTATTGGCTTTGGAGAAGATGGAGAATGATAAAGGATGAGGAGATAGAAATTCAGCTTTATCTTCTAAAGGAGACATGGCTGCAGTACCAGTGTGGGGTGGCTACCTGCACTAGACTGGGCCATCAGTGTGGATAGGGGAGGGGCTCCTCTTCCTGTTGCTTAGGGCAGTCAATGGCTGCTGGAGAAGGGGGATCATATTCCTCAATGGCAAAGACACTGGAACAATGTCCTTAATCAAGTCAGTAACACCCCCATCTTTTGTAGGTAACCCAAATTAAATGCAATGGGGCACTAAAAAGGCATCGAAGTATAAGGGCTTCTTGGGAAGAGGTACTGTGGGAGACACAAGGACAGTAATAGGGGACTAGGATCAAAGTACACTACATATGCATATATTTCACACTCATGAAGTTAAGGAATACATATTTTTAACACGAAAAAATAATTTAGCTTCAGAAAATTCCTAGGCTACACTTGTTGGGAGGAAGGACTGAGAAGGCAAGTCTTATCAGTAGAACAGGTGGCCTGTACCTCTGGATGTCATCCACAAGCCGGGCCAGTTGCTGCTGCCGTCCCACAGGGCTGAGCCGGGTTTCTTCAGCCACCGCCTTCATCAGGTGGAAATCAGAGGTTGCCTGGCTAGACAGGCCTGTGAGAAGCAAGCAAAGGCAATGGAGAGAATAACACGGACAGAAGGGCTGGCCCTGCTTAGGCACGATTCCCACTCAAATTAGTAAGATGCACCACCTGCGGAGTGCTGCACAGTAGACTGGCAAGCCCGAGAGTCATTAACAGCCTCTAACAGCTGAGTGTGGCGACACACACCTATAATCCCAGCATTCAGGAGTTCTGAGCCAGTCTGGGCTACAAAGTCAGTTCAAGGCCAGGCTAGGTTACATGGTGAACTCGTCTCTCTCTGTCTCTGTGTCTCAGGAAATTTTGGGCTGGACAGATGGATGCCTCGGTTGTTATGAGCACTTGTTGCTCTTCCAGAAGACCCAGGATGGATTCTCAGCACTCACACAGCAGTTTATAACCATATGTAACTTCAATCCCAGGGGACCCAATACTCTTTCTGACCTCTTGGGCACCAAAAACACGTGATACCGGCAAAACACTTATACATATAAAATAATAAAATAAAATAAATAATGTTTGGGGCATGGAGAGATGGCCTAACAGTTAAGAGCACTGGCTCAGGCAGACACTCAGCAGGCTCCCCTCCATACTGAGAATTGACACTCAGGCAGGCTCTACTACATACTGAGAATTGCTTTTTTGAAGCTGGCGCACGAAGAAACTAAGGGTCATTCTGGTCTCACTATAGCCAAATGGCCTGGCTTTAAAAACAAAACAAAACAAAACAAAACAAAACAAAGGTTGTATGATTTCCTTAACTAGTAAACTTCGAAACAGCAGCTTGGCCTCTGGAAATGACCCAGAGTCTGGTCTGACATCAAGTTTACACATCGAATGCATGACAGGAAAGAGGTCCCAGAGGGCACTTAATCCTCCCACTTGGCCCAGCTATTGTCTAAGCTACTTAAAGGGCCCCTTGTCCCTAGTTATGTGAACACTTTGGCATTCAGCTAACGTAAGCGGAGGCCAGTGAAGCTCTACACATAAACCTTACCTGTGAGAAAGCAGAGCTCCGGGACCAGGTGGACCATCTGAGGCTCTGAACTATCCTTTCTCTTTCTTTTCAACAGACTAACAAGCACGGGCTGATTTAGGTCAGATAAAGTGATGTTGTATTGCTATAAAATAACAAGGTTAATGAGGGGACAGCAAATGTGGACACAGAGAAGAGGGACATCCTCGGTTACAAGCAAATGAGTCACCCAGTAAATCTGTTACTACTCCTTACAGCTTTCTTCCCAGAGCTCATCTTTCCTACCTTTAATTATCTTTTATTTTTAATCGCGTTTTAATTTAATGTAGCGAATTATATGTATGTGTGTGTTTATATGTGTGTAAATGCATTACGTCATGACACAACTGTGTAGTCCATTGTCTCCTTCCATTATGTGAATCCCAAAAATTCAAATTTAAATCATTCAGGCTTGGTAGATAGTCTTTACCTGCTGAGCTATCTCACTGGTCCTTTATTATACTTTAGATTGCAACACTATTTTTAAGACGTAATTCTCCTGCTTCCTCTGGGTTTCCTCCAGATTCAGGACAGTCTTCAGTTGTCTGTATACACATTATGACTGAAGCATATGCCCCATGGTACTAGCCATCTAAATTCACTTTAACAATGTCTACACACAAGTTGCAGGCAAAGGTTATACTGTACTCAGTTTCTTGAAAGAACAAAATGGTTTTGATAACCAGATGGCAGGGAAGTAGAAGAAGCTTAGAACTGACAAGGGGGAATTTGATACCCAGCTCTTCTGTTCACTTGTCTTATATGAAATTGGGATGCCAGCAGTTAGCAGATGAACCACTCACACAGTGTGTGGTTTATGATGAGTCCTCAGCAGCTGTCTGGTCACACTCTGCTCCATCCCCCTCCTAAATTCAAATTTCACCTTGCCAAAGTTCATTTCCAAAGGCAAATCATAACTAATATTAACTTCCAGTATAGCTAAATGACAGGACTAGAATTATAAAATTATAATCTACAAAATACCTAGGAATGATGTTTTCCTGCCCATCACAATTATAATTACGGGCACAATATGCAAACATTCTCTAGTCCTAGTCCCATAAGGACTTTTATTCTTTAAAATAAAAACCAGTTCAGAAATACGGGGTTAGAGCTTGGAGCACAGCAAATGCTGAGGGAAAATACTCCAAGAGGCCTTTATCAAGAGTCTCTACTGAACATCACTGATTCAGTACAGGTGGCTGGAACATATTCTTCCTCCCAGGAACTAGGGTCGACACAGAAACAGAAGAGAAACAGTCCTTGACTTTTCTGGTAACTACATCTGCATAGCAAAGCTACACAGGACAGACCACATCCATGGGGACAGACCCTGCATGGCCCCTCATAATGAAGCCGCAAGGAATCAGATGAGTTCCTGAGGGCTCCACAGTTGCAGAGCTGGGACTTAACCCTTCACTCTGTGCCACACCATAGGGTGCTGGGCTTGAGCTGGTTAAGTCAAGGCAGCTTCATGAAGGAGGCAGAGTCCAAGAATAGAAGACAGTCAAGAGTAATGGAATCCTACAGAATGGCTCTGCCTAGCCCTGGCTACTTCAGGAAGAAGTTCTTCTACTTATGGCTCAAGGCCACACATTCCTGAAGTGGCTGTCCAAAGGTAGATTTTTACCTCCTCCCAGGACCCAATTTTCTGAAAAATTTCAAATATTTTCCACAAGATAATGTTTTCCACTTTGAAAACTAAATAGAAGTTTAGTGTGCATTTCCTACTTCAGAAAGTAGGACGTTTTGAAATCTGACAAGATTTTGTTTCCTTTCCTCCCTAACTACACAGAGCATACCAATTAAAGGACTGGCTCTTTCCATGGTGACCTTTTTAGAAAATGACAGGTCCTAAAATACATTTGTTCAAATAAGAACCAATTCACAATTCACTGATGTGCAGAAACCCAAACTTTTGGAGAGCATCAGTGCAGGTTGGGGGAGAAGGGAGAGGCGAGAAAGAGAGAGAGAGAGAGAGAGAGAGAGAGAGAGAGAGAGAGACAAGGAGAGAGAGAGAGAGAGAGAACGCATCAGCAGCTGAGTGGGAAGCCAGGAGAAAGAGAGAAAGAGCACGTCAGTGTCCCAGTGTCCAAGGGAGAGGCCCAGAAGTATCAACAGCAGCAGTTTCCAGAAGCTATTTTAAGAAGTGCCTCTGGGCATGCCAGGAGACAGTGTCAGCACCTTGGCAGGCCCACGCTGTACCAGGAGACAGCATCAACACCACGCTAGAAATTATCTGACCATGGGAGACTCAGCCTCATCCCCACCTGCACCTAAAGGATCAATCACTGGAGCTGCATCACTGCCTGTACCTGCAGGAGTGACCACCAGAGTCATGGCCCCACCTATATCGAGAAGAGAGAGCATCTGAGCCTTGGGTGGGCCCGTCTACACCTGGAGTCACAATCACCAGAGTCACAACCCCCAACTATACAAGTTGGAGGAAGAGGGACCCCCTGAAGCACAGGCTCCACCTATATTGACTAGAGGAAGAGATGTATAGACAACAAGGTAAGAAAACAACAACACAAAGAGCAATACAGCATCACCAGAAACTAGTGGTTCTACTGCAACAAGACCTGAACATCCCAACACACATGAAGCAGAAGAAAACAACGTTAAAAATAACTTTATGAAGATGATGATTGAGGCCCTTAAAGAGGAAATGAAAAATTCCCTTAAAGAACTGGAGATGGAGGGAAAGACAAACAAAAAATTGGAAGAGATGAAAAAATCCCTTAAAGAAAACCAAGAAAAAACAATCAAACAGGTGAAGGAAATGATTCAATACTTGAAAACTGAAATAGAGGCAATTAAGAAAACACAAACTGCCGGGCATTGGTGGCATATACCTTTAATCCCAGCACTCGGAAGGCAGAGGCAGAGGCAGGTGGATCTCTGTGAATTCAAGGCCAGCCTGGTCTCCAGAGCGAGTGCCAGGATAGGCTCCAAAGCTACACAGAGAAACCCTGTCTCGAAAAACCAAAAA